TCAGCAAAATTATGTCAACCATTTAACTAGAAACGTCAAGTCTTCTTCACAGCACCAGAGAGTGGAACTGTAGCTGCTCATGTTGAGCACAAACACAGCATCATCGAGTACAGTGTAAACCCAGAGACGTCCATGGCCGCCTGCTCCATGAAGGCTGCTAGGCCTGAGTAAGAAAGGCTCAAGGCAGGAAGGGGATCAAGTAAAGAAGAAAAAAAAAAAGCAGGAGATCAAGTATAACTATGAAAACAAGCAAGCTGTAATTTAAGTTGGGGGCAGGCAGGGGTCTGCCTAACATCAGTCAACAAATTAATAGGAGAGTAAAGAAGAAAACAGGTTTCCTGACCGCCTATCCTCCAGGCAGCACAGGATTGCTATCACCCCACTGGCACGTGTTCAGTATCCCTGTTTGTCCAAGAGCTTTTGACAGTCCAGCTTGTGGATTTTACCAGTTCTTTAAGGATTTTTAAAACAACCCCCAAAACCTGAGAAGGTTGAGAACAATTCCACCTTCACTAGCACAAGTAAGACTGAAATGTGCCAACTATTCTGTGAGCGTAAAGCAGTTGGAGAGGAATTGGCACGTAGTGTCCAGCCACTCACTGATGGAAGGTCTCCAAAAATATCTTCTGTCCATGACACAAATTAGGGCTGGACTTTAGATATGCCTTTCCCTGGGTCTTTTGCAGTCTAGCATTAAGAATTAGTATGTTTGTCTATAAGCATGAGGAGACCAAGATTAGAAGCCCAAAGAAGAGGCCAATGACTGTCGCTGTCCTGTGGCCCAAGATGTGTTTTCAGAATTCACTTGCAAGATGACTCCAGGCATCCTGCTACATCTTCTTTGGAGTTAGTTCAATTAAAAATCATTGTCTGCCTATGTTTTTGACATTTTAAACACCGCTGAAAGGTATTTGATAGGGATAAGGCTCTAGGGGAGGAATTTCAGTGCTAAAAAGGTAAACTATTTTGTGGACTAGAAGTGAATGGGCCTGGGAAAAGCAGAAGAACTGTTCAAATCCTTGGAATAAGGAACACAATAAAAGCCAAATGATGCTTAAGAAAAACCAAAACACAGAAGCACACCAAGCAAAAGCTAATGAATATGACTTACGTATTTGGATTGGAAAAGCAGAACAAGACATTTGAGTCTTGAGAACTGTACAATCGATCTGCTTTCCATTTTTACTTGCTTTTACTTATTTCCAGTTCTTAGATGGTATATCATCCCTGCCTGGATAGTTTGGAGTAAAGCGTGCTTCCATATTTATACATTAGTATATTTTTCTCACCAGGAAGAAGCAATAACATACACTGGACTGTCTGCAGAGTGAGTTTATATATGTACACACACACACACACTTTTATAGTGAATCCTAAAACAAAGTTTCCTATACAGGTGTTCTAGCAGGCAAATAATGCCTTTCATTTCCTGGGATTTAGAGGAAGCTAGTATTAAACACATTTTATTATTACTACAGCAAAATAATGCTAAGTGATATTAATGATTTAAAGTACAAGGTCAAAAAGTGTAAGAGCAATCATGTGCTTACCCATCTGGTCTGAAAGGTAGAGAGCGCCTACAAGTTATAGAAAAAATAATAGGTTTTAAAGCCAGGGCCTAATGTGACTCCGGTTGCGCAAAGAAGTAATTTTTGCATTGTGCAGATCCCAACAATTTGAATGTTGTTATGAATATGGACCAACAAGGCAGATCTTTCCGGAAGAATCTTGCTAGTATGTGGAAAGTGTACATCCTTATGCATATTCACAGTAATAAACACAAGATAAGATGAAGTAAGAATATTTGCCACTGAAATTAGACTTTTTTTTTTTTTTTTTTAAGGCCTGACGGACATTTCTTACTATAAAAATCTCTGTTAATCTAAAACACTCCTTTACTCTCTCCTGCAAGAAGAAAGCTCTTCAAACTCTGTTACTCCAAGTTATAAAATGTGCATTTGTGTGAGGTAATTTTTCATGACTTATTGTTCTTTATTTTTAAAAATAGGCTTAGGCATTCAGTTCTATTTTGAAAGATTAAGGCTTGTTCCCTAAACCACCTCATGGCATAACGATAGGATCTAAGGGTGAATAGGCAAATAATTATTTGTATTTGGCACATACAGACAGACCACACTAATTCAAAAAACAATGTTTCAGTTTTAAATAAGCTAGTAATTTAATTTACTTCAACTTATTAACACAATCCATTATTAGAAAACATACCTTCCATCATTTTCGTGTAAGTAGAATTTAGAGTCTTTCATTCCTAAATGGCAGGAAGGAAAAAGAATTCACGAGCAGATAATTTTGTATTGAAAACAAATTTTTAGCATATAAGCCATGACAGCATTATGGTAATCCTGTTCAGTTTATGCATTACAGAACTACTTATGTGTAGAGAACTACTTCTGTGATGCGCATTCGTATCAGCAGACTTGTGTCGTAATGTTTTGATGGATTTTTATCATTTACATTACTTCATGGATTTCCATGGTTTATTTTAATCTCAAATTTAAACATGTTTCCATGTTAAAAAAAAAAAAAATCTTTATTCAAGTAATTTTAATGGGACCATTACCTTAAGAAGTTACTATGATACAAGAGAAATTTTGAAGGATTATTCCCTGTGAATTTTGCTACCTATTCCAAAGTTTTTTTTCTTTAAAATTACTTTAGATTGGCATGTATAATTTTGTGTGATATTTTGCATGAATTCTATGTTCTGCCAGGTTTTATTTTTCTTTGCTTTTCCTTTTTCACTTGTTTCATATGCAGATATAGATTAACAAAAAGAGGGACTTAGACACTTTTTTTTTTTTAAGAGAACTTGTAGAACTAGAATGACAAATTTGTTACTGATACAGTATTATTAAATAATTTCTGAAAAAAAAAATCTTAACCATCAATTAATATGTGTTAACTCCACTTTAAACTTAGCTCTTGGAATATTTTATCACATGGCATACTTAAATTATACAGGTCTTAAGTCCTATATAGGCTACTGAAGAAAGCTAATAGAGACTGTAATGTGTATATTAAGGCAACGTGAACCAATGAAACTTTCGATCTCAATTCAACCAGAACACATGGGGTTATAAACAAGTGGCATACATCTGGCTGTGTCATGCTGTTTAAAGAACATACAACATTCCTACCTCAGCAGCATCAAACACTGAGCCAAATAACAACAAAATTAGAAGTCAGCTATGCATCTCAAACGTGTTTTTGCACAAGCATCCAAAGGATTCCAAAGAATGGCTAATAAATCTACTCAAATACATGATAAGAACATGTAGAATAAAGAGTAATAACTTACTGTGATACACTGAAGCATTCCAAAATGAGATTCGAACTAACCAAAACCAAAAAGGTAACTCATTTTTAAAACCTAGGAATATGGGCTTGCTCCCACTGAAGTTCATGGCAAGTTTCCATTAATATCAGTGTTGTAGTAGGAATGATCTCTAATACTGCAGTTTATTGTCTAATCTATATTATTGTTATTTTTTGGCACAATCCAACTTGGAATGTGGTAGCATGATATGAAAATGGTGTTTTGTTTGCAAACTTGGAATGAAATCTGACTTGGACTTGATTGTACAATACAAAAGCCAGCAAAAGGGAATTTGACACTCGCCATTCTAGCAGAAAAACTTACTTTATCAAAACTAGAAGATTAAAAATATTTTGATATTGTTATTTGAAATTAAAATCAAAAGGAAGAAGACATACGTATTAAACTGCGCCAGATTACTGGGATCTTTGGTTAATGAACATTACCTTCTTCAAAGTAAGCTAGTAATAAAGCTAATACCTAAAAATACTGCAGAATTAAGGAAAGTGTCACTGGCTATGAAACAGAAAAGCTATTAATCCTTTATACTAGCATGTTAAATCTCAAACTATCTGTGACAAATCCTGTATTTCTTCTTCTTTCTAAGCTATTACTGAATTCACTGGGAGTTCCCAATCCCTATTCAGCACAGTATTTAAACATGTTCTCAATTTTATACACTGGAGAAAACCTAAATCCTTATCTAAATTTTACTTCATTTTAAGTTAAGCAAAAGTTTATGACAGAGCAAGCACTCTGGTGTTTTGTTGAACTGGGAACTTGGCTTCTAGAGATGGGAAGGAGTGCCTCTGACTGCTTTTGTTCTTACAAGTGCTAAATCCTCAGTTTTATCAGGTCACAATTGCATACCTTTAGCAAAATAGGAAAAAGAGTTATTTGAGAGCAAGAGCTATCATTTTGTCAAGTCATTACTCAAGGACAGTACATATGGGGAGCAAAGTGGAAAGCAGCATTGCATGAATCAGATTCTTAACCTACTACTACAGAATAATATCATCAGCATATTTTCATTACTATTACTATAAGCATATACAGAGAAGATGAAGAGGACCAAAATTAAGTTTGGATAGTATATGTGTGCTAAATTCAGGCAAATACTAATGCTAGCAAATATTTATATTAACAATTAACTTTGTGCTATAGGAGTTAATATACTCCATACGAGGTCTGAAATACAACACTGGGTTTGGAAATACCTGATAATCAAATTAAGTACTATGGACATGAACGTTTTGCTCACCCTACTTTAGCAATATGTCTTAGTCATGACTGGGCAATTCCATTATCATGAAGTCTTTGATCTGTTTCCTGATCCATCAAATACTATCTGTCAAAGCACAGTGGGAGAATGGCCGTTTCTTTGGTTCTTTCAAAGCAAACTCAGAGGAAGTCGTGATCTCCGTTTGTAAAGACTTTTGGTTGCAAGTTCAATGACCTAAAGTTAGAAGGATCTACCACATGCTAATAATTCCTTGGGTCCGTTAACCCACTGTTGATTGTTTATTCCACGACAGCATAATGAAAATGAGTCAGTGCTGGTTAATAATGAAGTATTTTCTCCTGTTAATTAGTGATATCATTTGTTAAGTGAAAGGTAGCAGATACTAGCAATTCATTATAAAATACAAAATAAAACCTTTACCCTAATGAAGAGGATCTTCTCTCCAACTCTGTATCTTCCTTGTGAAAGACGCTCCACACAGAACTTATTAGGGCATTTACAAGGTGGATCTTCAGAAATGTGTTTAACCTGAAAAACACAGAAGCTATTACTAGAAACTGTTTAAAATAGCACATGTAGCAAAACATCCAAGATGACATTTGCCATAACATGATATCACTAATCTAAGTCTTCATCGATGATATTTTCTTAGTTCTTCATTTTCTTAATATTTCTCTAATCCCAGACTAGGTTTTTTTCCAGTATCAACAATGATTTTACAGCTGTGATGAGGTAAAAAATAGAGATGGGTGTCACACAGTTCAACACGACATTTGCACTGTTTAACTGAAGTCAAACAGCTTGTTAATTTAGTTCAGCACCAAACTTTTGTAGATGTGTTCTAAGTATTTTATGGTGAATAAGGTCAACTGTCAAAATGCTAATAGAGCTGACAGGCAAAATGAAGACGTCATAATGATGTGTTTTCCCTTCTAAATAAATATAATGAATACAGAAGCACCTTACTTATCAATAAAAGGCCCTGCCCAATAGCTTCACTTGGCACTTTCAAATAGTGCGCTTACACCTTAAAAAAAACTATACAGAGAATACTGTGACATAATTGCAAATCCATGCCAAGATGCTCCCCAGTATTGCTAACTACTCTTTGATGACCTCTACCTTAGGGCCTTAGTGCAATCAAGGGTAATTTAAAGGGGCCTCAAGAGTACTCTATCATTGCCAACAATAAGGGCTGAGAAAATATAGATGAAAACTACTTTCCTGCTCTTTGTCAGCTGCATCAGCTTGACTTCAGCCTCTTGTGAAAACTTGGCCTTGCATGTGCTACCAAAGGCATTAATGTTCAGTAAAAGTATATTTTGTACTCTTCAGTGATCTGAAAGTAGCACAGCCGTCAATGCCAAAAGAGCAGATTGGTTGCGAAACTCTTATTTGACATTCAAATCTCACTGCTGCGTAGGAACAACAATAACAAGTGCAGCATTTTCATATACTGCAGTTTGCTTGGATGAATGCTGACCTAGTATGTCAGCATCAAACAGTGCAAAATGCCAGCGGAACTTCCTAGAGATTTTGTCCACTTCAAATCGTAGTACAAAAACCTTTTCCAATACAGTTTGCAAACCAAGGCCTGTAAAGACAGTCTCAGGTCTGGGAAAAAATATTCTCAGAATAGCTAACAAATTAAGTCTTAAGCTGTTTCACACAAAAAAAAAAAAAAAAATTCAGGGCAAAGCTATGGCACTCTGATAGGCGTTTTGGTTATCTTCAATACCAAGGAGCAGGAAAGGCTTCTGAAGTCTAAAAAGCGTTTTTCAGGTCTGGTTTTAGAATAAAGTTATAGTATGTTAAATAAACCAGAAAAAAATTAGAAGTTAAACAGTTATTGTTTCCATACTGGAATGGGGAGCCAAAATGCATTTGAAACTAGCCCTGTTGACCAATTTAAAGGCTTTCCAATTTCTGAAATTGTTCAAAGTCTGAATAACTTTAATACGTTGTGGAACAATTTTTTGTAATTATTCTTACCTTATTTTTTTTTTTAATCAGAGCATGGTATTTTTGTGAAAAAATTAGTTTTAAAATAGCACGTAGCAGAGGAACTCTACCTGTATTTTACACACAAAAAGTGTTTCTCAAGTATCAGATGAGTTATCCTCAGTTTGAATGTACAATCGCTGAATTATTTTAAGATTAATTACTCCAGTGACTTTTAGAGTCAATGTGTAACAGGAATAACGTATATGAAGTCAGTGGTGGATGACTTAAATCCAAGTGCAGGTTGCTGAGGATGCAAAAGGTGCATTCCTGTATCTCTTGGAATGTGATACCAAGACTGAGATAGTGCTTGGAGGACTACTTGGTGACAATCCTCTGAATGTTGCCTGAGAATCAGGAATTTCTGACATAATATCCCATGGCAGTTACCACCTCTGGAGACATTCTTGAAACTCGAAGCTGAAAACAGATAGTGTGAACTATGCCTTAATAGCTGCATCTACCAGGGTTCATCGAAGCACGCAAAAACCCTAACAGGTTCAAGGTTATTTTGAGCTGTGTAAGCAACATAGAGCCATCTTAGGCCTGTGGAGAATGAAAGCCAACAGATTTATACTGGTGTAAAACAGGATAATGAGACCTTCACTGCTGATCCTGCCATTGAGGCTTTCATTGCCTTACTATCCCAAAGGGCACAGAATTATTATTGAGTGGAATTTTGAAATCAAATAAGGAAGCAGAAGGAAGAAGTATATCCTATTTTATTTTGCATCTGGACTATATGAGCACTGCTGCTACTTTATGGTGTGAGCGTCTGGGGCAGTGCAGGTCAGGAATCTAGCTGGATGAATTCCATTCTGTTTCTATCCCTACTGCTTTCTAAATTAAAGGAGGTTGTTGGAGACAACCTTCATACTTTGTTCTGTTCCTACAAGATAACGCAGTCACCACCCTCCTTCTACACGTAACTGTTCTTTCTCAATTCTGTTGAAACATAAGTGATGCTTTTGCAGAGTTAAGGAAGAAAGACAAAATGTAAAAGACATTAAATGTAATTATTTGCATCAAATAGTACAAACTACTTCAATAAAATGAACAAACATTATATTCCATCTGCTCTTTGTAACAAAAAAGTGGCACATGGATTTTTCAAGAAGTGCTTTGTAACTCCCAGGTGGCACATCTACCTTGTAATATAGTGGTTCCTATAGTAACTGCTTCTTTTTATAGAATATATTTGTACTTTTCAAGTTTAACCTCTTCATGGTCTCAAAACGTGTCCTTTTCATCTGATTCCAGCTGTTTCAAATGAACGCCTCTAGGGTTTGCAACAGAGAAATGAACACTACAGTGCAGAGTTTAATGAAATTCAAAGCAAGATACTTTCTTTCTAACAATGAGGATAAAAATGCTTGCTTTTTTACTGCATGATAAACATGCAGAACAGCAGCACAAAAATTAGGCTGAGATAACTTAGAAGTGTTTGTTAACAATCTGTACAAGTCAGTATGGGCCAAATCTCCTAGTCCTGACTCAGTCCTTTCTCGGACAAAACACCAAGTGGGAGTTGGTGAATAAGAAGTCAACAGAAAAAGAAAATGGAGTAATAAGAAGGGAACTTGGCCCTAAGCACAAAGCTAGGCTAAACTGCAGATCTCCTACACAGTGTGACATTTTTTCCAAGCTTCAGGCATAAATAATTGTGGTCAAAAATAAATTAACTCTATCAGTCTGCAAATCTTGAAAATACAGTGAGACACTAAACTCGGGCTCCTGTCTGCTTTGCAAGTAAGTGCATACCAGAACGGGTCAGGTAGGAAGAAGCTTCCTCCCACAACTTACAGCATCATCCAACAGTTTCCCTGTGCTCTTTTTCCCAGGAGACTTTGTTGGTGACGGTGAAGGAGAGGGAAGGGGGGCTGAAAGTGTTTCCTCTTGTTCAATCTCTTTTTCCAACTTTATTAATCCAGGAGGCTCCACCCCAAACCTTTTGGAAACATGCAAACAAATTACTAGTCTTTTTATAAAGTATTACATATTTTAAAACAAAACAGCGTAAATAATTTATACTTTCTGTATTGCACTCTTGTACAATAATAGAATGCTACTCACATTAGTAAACGTGTAAAAAGTATATCAATCATCAATGCCATCATTCCAAATTAATACAGGAAATTAATTTAGATAGGATCTCTCAGTTGAAAAATGTACAGGAAATACAGGGGTTTTTCAACTTCTCTGTCTGATAACATATATGTTATCATAATATGTTGGTGAATGCTTGATTTATGAACACTAGGCCTCAAAAATTGCTATACTATGTAGAACAGATTCTAGTTCAGTATATTTGCTTTTTTTTTTTTTTCTTCCCCCCCCTATATTTTGTGTTAGTATTTTTCAAAGAAATCCAGATGAAAAGGGATTAAAGGTTATCCCAGTCTCAACTATTGCACTGAGTTTATAGATAAATAAATTGAGACATGGCCAATATTTTTCAGATGTGGCTAATGCTTTTTCTAACCTATTTTTGACAGCCAATCTTCAGATCTCTGTTTACAGTGGCAAAACACTTGTAGCTCCAACTAAAACAAAATACATGCAACTTTGGCAGGGAGCATCTCAAACACAACACTTGGAGAGCGAGGTTCTTTAAAACAATGCCTGCTTTTGAAAGCTTTATGGCAAGTGATTAAGTCAGTATCTCACAGCAAGCAGCAGAGCTTGGACAGCTGTCAGAAGTCTAAAAGCCCATCCCATTTTCCTAATCACTGATAATTCCCCTCCGTTTTTTTATTTGCCAATACTGAACAAAGCCCAGAAAGATAGAAAGATTTCCTTTTTCTGAGAAGGACTTCAGCTTGAAAAAGTTATCATGCCAGGTAGGCTTCTCATAGCAAACCACTTCCATAAGTGAAACCATATTTTCTTCTGTAGTAGAAAAATCCATAGCCCAGATGCAGAACTATGCTGACTTAAAGATCTGGAATCTAAAATATTGAGCAGTAACAAACACATTATGAAAATTTAAGCTAAATACCATAATCATGTTAAAAGTGTACAGAGAAAGGCCGTAAGTGCATATACTGTCTTTCATATTTTTATGACAACTTTTAATTTAGTCACACTACTGCCTAGTAAGTTAATATAAGGAAAACCAAGAACCAAATCTGTGCCTGGACTGGCTTCTAATTGGTGCAGTCTGCCTAACGAAAAGTCAGCCAATATTGAAGCAAGCACTTCTATACAATCCATTGACTTCCTGTCTGTCTGCAGATGCCGACAGGCTGTAAATCATTAAATTCCCACTGGGCTCAAAGCCTACACCTGCATGCAGCCTTAGTCATCAAATAAAACTCTTCCACTCTACGCAATGCTGCTGCTTTGCTTCTACCGCTTTTCACAATCTCCAATTTTTGTCATTGGGACAGACTTCTCTGTGCTTCCAGTATTCTGAATTCCTCTGGTCATGAGATGAAAAATAAAACAAACAAACAAACATACATACACACTTTTTTCCTCCCCTCACATATTTTCTCAATCCCAAGCAAAGTTACTGGAAAACTGAAAAGGTAAAACACACATTTTCTGGGAGGGGTAGAGGTGCAAATTCTGGCCTGGAAGGTATGCTGAGAATTTCCTTTTCTGCTCTTTTCTAGCCTGCCTTCTCATAACTACAAATGAAGCAGCAGTGGACTGTAACATGATCTCCAACAGACTTCTTACAGCACCACTTCCCACTTTCACCAAGGAAAAATTGAATACAATAGCAGAAAGATTTTGAAATTGCTCAACAGTAATTTCAAGAGATGTGGGGGGGATGGTTAACCCCCCAGATTTTAATAGTTACCCAAGAACTTTGTTCTTTCTGCAGAAAAGATAATTTAGCTGTTTTCCATTGTATAATTGCTCTTTAAACATACACACACACAGAGCATTTATACATCTATTTGCAAATAATTGCATTCTCAGTGAAGTTGTGATTACAAAGATTACTCAGATTATGCAGTGATAGATTCTGCTTTCGCATCACTTTAGTCAAAATGATTCACTCACCCCTTTAAAATACTTTAGGAGAACGTTGGACCTGTGCAACCCCCTGCAATAGCCCTGGGTATTGTCAATGCTCAATTTCACCCTGTAGGACACTTCCCTCTCCCATAAACCTTCTCACTCTACCCACACGATATCTGCCAGTGCACACAATGGCACATGTTAACTGTTGAAATTTCACGGATGACCTCCATTTTATTTTCATAAACAACTGAAAACCAGGATAGCTTATCAGGCTATTCTATTTTTATTAGTACCTGGGCTTTGAAGTGCCACTCTTTGAGCCAAGTGGTCACACCAGTTTTCCACTCACCATGTAGTCCATGTCTCTGTAATTTGGCTAAAAGAACACTATAAGAGAATATGCTAAAAGCATTGCTAAAGCATAGGTAAATTATCAGCTGTCTCCCCTCATCCACAGAATACCTGTTGAATGGGTTTGAGTTTAGCAGAATGCAGCTCGATTCTATCCCCTCCTCAGTGAATCCCCCTTCCTGCTCACTTGTGCCTCAATCCCAAGCCTCTTTTCATGACAAAGTAAGGCCTAGATTGACTTACGGCAGTTACAGATCCTGAAGACTAATAGTAATCTAGCTGGGCAAAGTGTGCTAAGAACTGGCTGCTTGCAATGATTAAGCCACTTTGAACATGTCTTTCTGCTTCTAAAACAGAAAAGGAGAAGTAAGAAGTTATTCAGTGTCTCCTACTCTCTTCATTCTTTTAAAACATACGGAGGCATCTTTTCAAAGATCTCTGCAGCTCCTGCTCTGGAAAGCAGCTCCCTAAGACTGTCAATAGACCCAGTTTGCTTTACCAAGCAAGCAGACATCTGACTTCTCTCCCATTTTAAGCAGCACAACAACATCAGTTTAATGTGCTCTTTCCTATGCTCAGTGGAGGCAACTATCTATTCTCCCTTTCCATGTAGTTCTAGATGACCACAGCTCAGGCAGAATTGGCATCGTATATTTGCTTTTCAATTATATTAACCTAATGTTCCCCTTCAACCATTTTTGTGCACCTTGGAAACTTGAAAGGTAATAAATAGGGTTTGGTTTGTTTTCTAACAGATACAGCAGGAACAAGCCAACAGACTTGTTATTTGACCCCTAAGCTATAAGTAAGAATAAAATACAGTAACATAAATGGAATATCTAAAATAAATGAATGGTATGTGATAGTATATATGTATTACAAATAAAATTTTTTTAAAATATTTTAAAGGCAAAGGGATAGGTGTGCATGAAAAATGAAAACGTGGTTCATTCATTGGTCAAATATTTCTTTTTATGCCTGGAACAGAGAGCAACTGAGACATGGAAGCTCAAGATAAAAAACAAATATGAAAGGTAAGAGTTTCTCTTAATACCCATGTGGATCTGTTGAGAAATCAAAACTCATTGCAAAATGAGATTACTCTATCTCAACCAACTTTAGTAGAATCCAATACTGCCTAACCACTGACCTGCATTCCCTGAGGAAGCTGAATATTATCAAGTCACCTGGGGCAGACATTCCTGACAGCTATGCCCTGGGTACAGGGTCTCTGGATTCTGGAAGGTCTGTCTCTAAGCTGGGGATCTTGTAAGCACAATTTTTTTGCTCAGGTAGATTAAGATTCATGAAAATCCATTTCATTGAGCACCTACTCATCAGAATACTTCCTTATTCCTGGCAAGTTAAATTAAGAGAGATAAGGAAATTCTGAATCCAAGTTTTAGAGATAAGAAAACTCTCCAAATTGGCAATCAGCTTTTTCTGGCCCACACTATTCCTATGCAAGCTTCCGCTGGCAGTGAGGGCTTTTCTGAGACTGGACTAAGACAAATTTCTAGTTAAGCAGCTTCCCGAGTTGCATTCACAGAATATGAATACCCATAAAAATATGAATACCCAATGCCCCTCCACTCTGCTCTGGTGAGACCTCACCTAGAGTACTGCGTCCAGCTCTAGAGCCCTCACCACAAGAAGGACATGGAAGTGTTGGAGCGAGTCCAGAGGAGGGCTACTAAAATGATCCAAGGGCTGGAGCACCTCTCTTAGGAGGACAGGCTGACAGAGTTGGGGGTGTTCCGCCTTGGGATGA